GGGAACAGCAAATCTTTGATATATGCCTTTATTAAAATAATGTTGACATAAATTTTGAAAACCACAACTTCTAAATTCCATTACCTTTTCTCTTGATCACCCATGTTTTTCTGATCGGCATAGATTTCTGCATAAAGCAATGCTGTAAAGTGAGCCGCACAAGACTGAGCCACTTTGGCAACTTCTAGATAGTTCAAATCCAGCCAGAAAGCATCATCGTAAACGGTTCCTGAGAGAGGTCTAAAGAAAAATTGAATATAATATTATATCTGAAATTTCCTTTAATATCATTATCTAAAAAAACCCCAGCATATCCATGGATAGTTACACTGAAAATTATATTCAAATAAATGAAAACCACATTTAACTAAAATACAGCTAGCTGTGTCAAATTCGCCTACTCTCTAAAATCTGTTACGACGCAATCCCTATGCACAGTGTGTGCAGTCATGATCATTCTGGACATGTGAACAGCAGAGAGAAACGTGAGCTGTCCAAGGTTCATGCTCTCATCTGAGACAGTGCAAGGTGGGGCTCTGCCTCTTGTTTCAGCTCTCAGACTGTAACTAGTGTGCAGTAGGTCATCTATGCAGTGCCATACGCTTCACGTTTCTGTTGCTGAGTTGACTGTTTAAAGTAGCCTCCAACTGCTGGTGGTGTAATGGTTAAGTGCTCTGTTGCTAACTGAAAGGTTAAAGGTTCAAAACACCAGTCGTTCTGCTAGAGGAAAGACTGGGCGGTCTGTTCTCCTAATGATTTCCGTCTAGGAAATCCTGCAGGGTAGGTCTCCTGTGCCCTACAGGGAGGGTTTCTTTAACTGGAATCAAACTGGATAGCACACAACGAGATAGTGCTGAAGTGCTGGCTACTGTTCCTAACCACAGGAAAGGTGTGACGGGCCTCATGGGGAAAACAGGTGCTAAATAAGCATCCTTCGGGCATGAATATTCACTGTTAATGAGTCAACGGCATGCCTGAGGTAAGGTGTTATTCAACAGAAACACAAATAAAAGAAGGCTATATATTGATTAGTGCACTATTATAATCAGAGGTTCACCAGAAGCTAACTCTGAATTTCCCCTGGGAGCAGTATGTTAGTACTCATTAATTCAGTCTTAGCAGTAAGGCTATATATAATGCTACCACATATAAAGAGAATTGACTGCATAAATATTCCTGTATGGATAGTTGACTAGCCCTATTTCTCAGCCTTTGGGGGTCACAAACCTCTCAAGAGACTCTAATGAAGATGTTTGACTATCATTCTACACATAGTTGAGAAGCAAACTCGCCCTTCACCATGGGATCAACAGACCAGAGGCTAAGAATAGGTTTTGCAGAAACACTAACAAAAGGCACACAATCAATGCAATGGATATACTTAGGCTTTCATACAAGGCAGTACATCTCGTTCCTGCTACAGCTCATTTTCACCTTAGCTTACTGTCTGGGCTGAGCTATTAAAAAAAATCTACCGCTGGGTATATGCATTCAAGTGAATTTGCTGTTGCACGAACAAACCCAAGTGTATACAGACACAGAGGAAGAAAGGCTCATGGAAATATCTTTGTCAAAACTAAACTATAGAGATATGGCATGGTACTGGTTCAGAACATGGGCTTCAGCGTAGGAAACACTTAGGTTTAAACTAGCTGTGTGATTCTGTGTAACTTTTCTAAGTCTCCATTTCCTCATCTCAAAAAAACAAAAACAGCATACATTTCAGGGTCGTTGCCACGATCAAACAATATTTGTACAGTTGATGAAAAAGCACCTACTGAAACCAAACCCACTGCCGTCGAGCTGCTTCTGACCCGTGCAGGGCTTCCGAGAGTCGACAATCTGTACTAGCGCAGGGTCTGAGGAGTTTGAACGGCTAATTTTGCGGTTGGTAACCCAACGCAACCCCTTATTTGTTGCTATTATTTCTGAGGATCCTCAAGTTCAGAGAATTTAAATAATGTGTAGGGAAAGGAATGCCAGGCATTCAACATTAGAGTCCTCATTACCATATCCATCTTGTTGGTCAAAGGGGGTAAGACAATAGGTAACTTGTGGAGATCACAAAGCTTCCAAGGGTCAAACTTGGGTCTGAAGTCAGTCCCTTTGCTGTTCCTCTATGTCCTATTCATATTTTCTCAAGGACTCTTCTTTCAGGCCTTGTTTAACATTAAGAATTTGCATCCTTTCTAAATCCTGATAATGTCACCACTTTTCTATCCCAATGATAAATTTGAAATGAATGACTTTGAAGTGAAACGGCCTCCCGGCCCCAAGAAAAGAGATTCTTCTAGTTATAGCAAACTTTTTGGTGGGCTCTCTCGGACTCTGCGAGGGACAGACTTAGTTAAAATGCATTTTCATATCGCGCCCCAACTCTTGCTTTCATCCTTTCCTAAGCTGCCACCATCGGTCTGGCAAACGTTGGCTTGTTACTGGTCCTGCGGAGACTGAAAGTCACAG